TATATATATATATATATATATATAAATACTTTTAATTGATTTTTAATTTAATATTTTTTTTTTACTACTTCCCCCCAGCAGGGGGACTGTCTGACATTTCAGACAGTTCCCCTGCTGGCAGATCCACAGCCAGCTATAGGGGGCCATGTGATCGCTCTTTGAGAGCGATCACATGGCCCCCGGGAGCCCCGGGGGCCTCACTTGCCCAGGCAGCCCTCCAGAAGAGGATTGCAGCGGAGGTAAGTAGCTGCGATCCCCTGGGGCTCAAACCCGCGACGGCATAGAACGCCGTAACAACAATAAGGGGTTAAAGGCTTTTCTAAACAACATAACCGCTACAGCTCAATTTAGGGGTAATGCATTGTATAGTCCTTCAGTTTAATCTATTCCGATGTTCAATGCAAGGCTATTTTTTAATTGTTATTCAAAATATTCATTATTTTTTTGCCTTTTGTTTTGCATTGCAGCCCTAGCTAATTTTTGTGTTCATTTTTTATTATTTTATTATTATATTTAATAATTTATCTATAAATATTTTTGGAAATTGCAAACGCGAAATGGAACGCTGTGGAAAACCATGTTTAAACCCTTTTACAAAACACACTTATCTTACTATATCTGTTACAAATGAAAAATCAAAACACAAATCATAGTGCAGTATTACTGAACACACTAAAAAAAATATGTGTATATATATATATATATATAAGTATCTATCTCTCTCTCTCTCTCTCTCTCTCTCTATATATATATATATATACACACACAGCTGCGCAGTGTGCACAGGCGCACACAACATGATTTTGAAAAATGAATGCAAATTACAATAAAGTTCAAATACAGGTACCCACATCAAGTAACCTGATGTGGTTTCCTGTTTGGCATCTTGGAGGAAGCACTTGCCCTTGTTATTATTATTATTATTATTATTTATATAGCGCCAACAAATTCCATAGCACTGTACAATGTTCTTCCTGGGTCCACCAAAGACATAAAAAGACCACTTCATTGAGTCTTGGTACGGTGGCATTATAGTTTTAACCCTGCAATGTGAAACATTGTAGTTTTGTAGAAACCTGACAGCCACAAGAGGCACTTTAAAATTGAGAACCAAGTTAAACTCAGTTCTTAATTAAAACATGTGATTGGCGTAGCACTGCAATTTTTCCGCACATACGTGCAGGCCTCCCAATGCTTCCGTATGGGGAACCATTGGATTGGTGAATCATCAAGACTGATGATCTCAGGAGGCGGGAGGCCAAGAAAAAGAGCAGTGCATTAGGGGACGAAAGATAAGTAAGTCTCTCCCAGAGGCATAAATGGAAACCACCGGATCCCAATGCAAAAATTGCCCTGGGGACCCCCCCAGGGGTCTCATTCTCTCTCCCAACCCTTCCATGTGTCTCATTCTGTCCCCCAGCCCCTCCATGTGTCTTATTCCCCACAGCCCCTCCATGTGTCTCATTCTACTTGTTCATGTTTCTCATTTCCCCCTAAAGCCCCTTCATGTGTCTCACATCCCCCCAAAGCCCCTCTGTGTGTCTCATTTCCCCCTCAAAGACCTTTCATGTGTCTAACTTCCTCCCCCCAAAGCTCCTCCATGAGTCTAATTTTCTCCCCCAAAGCCACTCCAAGTGTCTAAAATTCTCACCCCAAAAGTCCCTCATTGTGTCTCATTTCCTCCTCCACAGCCCTCCTTGTGTCCCATTCCCTACTCCCTCAGCCTCTCCATGTATCCCATTCCCTCCTCCATCCCAGACCCTTCATTTGTCTCATTCCCTCCTCCCCCACAGACCCTTCTATGCCCCCAATTTCCGCCCCCCCCCGCTCTTCCATGTGTCCATCTCCTTCTTCCCTCAACCCTCTCTTCCCTCCTGTACCTGCTCACTGCCACAGTACCCGTCTGGCAGGAACTGCTCTCTCAGCTACACACAGCGGCACAGCACAGCACTGCTGGTAACCCAGCAACCATGGGCCCCCAGGCCGCTGCTGCTGTTGTAGGTACACAATTCATCTCTCCCTTTTCATGTACCCCGACCAATAACTGACACCTAAACAGCTACAGGGACACTGAAGCATTATATATATTGTTGTGGAAATAAGGTCTGCACATATTTCCTAGTTAGTGAAAAATGTCTATTTACTCATTCCACGATATATATTTAAAGCTATACACACGTGCTCTAATCAAGATGGCTGCTAGAAGCTTCTAACCCCCTCCTCCCCCTGCCCCTTTAACACCGACTAACTACCTCGTGCAGCAAGATGGCGCCGGGAAACCGTGGGAGACCCTCATGGACCTGGTGACATGAAATATTGACATATTTTTAGCTAGTAAAATGTCTATTTACTCCATTTAGTTATACTCAATATTATTCAATAAATTACTAAACTGACCACTAGATGTCACTCAGGAGTACCCCACCCATCGACCAAACACTCTAATTTTCAAGATGGCACTGGAATCCTGGGGGAGAACTCCATGACGACAGTAATGACATAAGAAGGCACACCCTGTAGGGCGTGCTTTGAATAAAACACTTAACACTTGACCAATTATTGATGTATTATTCCATGTTATCTCTGACAATGCTTATGATGTAATTTTGCTTTAAAAGGGACCTGCCGTCCCCTCTGAATAAACTTTCCTCAAGTTATTCAGCAACCTAGAACCTGTGTCTGGTGTGAATTACTTCAGGGAGCGTGCACGCATTGTTTCATTGATTTGGCCAGGGGCAGATACACAAAGAAATAATCAATACTTTAATTGATTTTTCCATTTCAATTGGCGCCCAACGTGGGGCCACCGGAGGCCGGTTCCCGGAACCAACGGACCGGAGCGGACCTCCGGAAAGTGGGACAAGCAGAGCCTGATCACCTCCATAATACAGCCGTTGCCTGTGTTATTCTCCTGTTTTGTGCCGGTCTGTCTCCGAGTCCACTTCCGGCTTCCAGAAGGCTACTAGAGACAGGTAATTAACTCATCCGGTGCGCCCTTTTTAAGTGAACCTGTCGATTGTCTATCTGCCTCCTGTATTCATTTATGTGTGTGTGTTTATTATACCTTTAGGATATGTTTGCTTGACTGCCTAGCGGGCAGGGAACGCATTTTATATGTTTGCTTGACTGCCTAGCGGGCAGGGAACGCATTTTATATGTTTGCTTGACTGCCTAGCGGGCAGGGAACGCATTTTCTATGTTTGCTTGACTGCCTAGCGGGCAGGGAACGCATTTTATATGTTTGCTTGACTGCCTAGCGGGCAGGGAACGCATTTTATATGTTTGCTTGACTGCCTAGCGGGCAGGGAATGCATTTCAGCCGGTGGGGCTGGGTTTTTATGTTTGCTTGACTGCCTAGCGGGCAGGGAACGCATTTCAGCCGGTGGGGCTGGGTTTTTATGTTTGCTTGACTGCCTAGCGGGCAGGGAACGCATTTCAGCCGGTGGGGCTGGGTTTTTATGTTTGCTTGACTGCCTAGCGGGCAGGGAACGCATTTCAGCCGGTGGGGCTGGGTTTTTATGTTTGCTTGACTGCCTAGCGGGCAGGGAACGCATTGCAGCCGGTGGGGCTGGGATTTTTGTTTGATTATTGCAGTATTTCTTTTGGTACCAGTGTTTTGCCGGGACCAGCCTGGTGGGTGAAGGCTGGGGATTGTTATACCCTGAATATCTGAATATTCTGCTCTCTATCATTCTGTGGTTTCTGTTTAATTGTTGTTACAGTGTGGGTACCCTTGGTGTGTGTGTGTGTATTGTGTGGTTAGTTCTGGATTCCGGTGTTTACGCTCATTTGTATGTTTGTGATTTTTGCAAATGTCTTCTCATTAGCGCAGCCACGTTCATTTTCTCCTTTGTTCTTTATCTCTCCTGTGCCTGTTGCCCAGAGCTGTGTTAGTCACCCACGCTCATTCGCTCCCGTCCGTGACCCCTACCCCGGGTGGGCGGATCTCCGTGACTGGTCTACGTTTGGGGAAGACGCACGGGGCTCAAGTTCTCGTGGCAGTCGAGCACTGTAGACATTCTTTTTTCCCTTGTACTTACTATACTTCTTTGTCTTCCACGTGTGGCACGCTTTGGTTACTCAAAAATGGGACAGGAACACGCTAGACCTGCTAAGGGCTTGCTAGCTTGTGACATTGTGAAAGAAAGGGCAGGGGAAGATGCAATGTTGAAACTTAAGAAGATTGCTAAGGTGTGTGGTTTCCAGATGTTGCCCAGTGGGAGATTACAACCGGAGTTTTGGAGAAAGCTACTCATAGACAAGGAAGGGTTGTTGTTGGATAATGGACTTACGAAAGTTGCAGAGGCTTGGTACCGGGTGGCTAGAGGTTTGAAACGGGAAGGATGGGTCGAGGAAGAACTAGAGTTTGAGGGGCAAGTTGTGTATGTTTATCACAGGAGTGTTCATAATGATGATGTTGTTTCTATTGTTCCACGACCACCGCCCTATGATGGCGCCCGGAGCGCAACACTTAATTCCCGCCCTGCTTCTCCCGTCACGACACAGACCCCACCCTCTGGGGGTGTGTCTTCAGCTCCCACTCCCCTGTGCCCCGTACTCGGTATGGATGGTGCTTACTATTATCCAGTGCCACTTCACTCGTTCCCTCCTACTCCCATGCCTCAACCTTCCTATGACCCAACCCCCTCCGTTAGCCATCCTTCTGTCATGCCTGCCGAAGCCCCTCCGCCTTCATGTCCTTCGCTACCTCTCCCGGTGACCGTCCCCACTCCGGACCTTACCATGGCTTCCCCCACCTCACCCATTGAAGTCCCACCTTCCTCCTCCGCTTCCCTCTCAACCCCGAGTGCCCCTTCCTTAGTAGCTTCTGTTCCCTCACCCTCTCCGTCTATCACACATCCAACTCCCCTACCCCATACCCTTTCCACCGGCCCTATTCCTCCGGATCTCTGTCTCCCCACTGACCCAGGACCCCTCCCTCCCTCCCACGGCCGATTTCCCGTCCCTAATCTCTGCCCTCACCGCCCTGACCCAGCCCCCTGTTACCACCTCTCCTCCAGTGTTACCTCCTCCTCCCGAAGTCCCAGCCCCCTCTACCTCGTTACCCCTCCCTCCCACGGCCGATTTGCCGTCCCTAATCTCTGCCCTCACCGCCCTGACCCAACCCCCTGTTACCACCTCTCCAACCCCTTCTCCAGTGTTACCTCCTCCTCCCGAAGTCCCGGCCCCCTCTACCTCGTTATCCCTCCCTCCCGCGGCCGATTTGCCGTCCCTAATCTCTGCCCTCACCGCCCTAACCCAGCCCCCTGTTACCACCTCTCCTCCAGTGTTACCTCCTCCTCCCGAAGTCCCGGCCCCCTCTACCTCGTTATCCCTCCCTCCCGCCGCCGATTTGCCGTCCCTAATCTCTGCCCTCACCGCCCTAACCCAGCCCCCTGTTACCACCTCTCCTCCAGTGTTACCTCCTCCTCCCGAAGTCCCGGCCCCCTCTACCTCGTTATCCCTCCCTCCCGCGGCCGATTTACCGTCCCTAATCTCTGCCCTCACCGCCCTAACCCAGCCCCCTGTTACCACCCCTCCTCCAGTGTTACCTCCTCCTCTCGAAGTCCCAGCCCTCTCTACCTCGTTATCCCTCCCTCCCGCGGCCGATTTGCCGACCACACCCTCCGCCTACGTTGCTTTGCCACAGCCCCTTGTTCCTATCCCTCCAACCCCTTCCTCGGCGACCCTTGACGCACCTCCGTCCAATGACCTATCAACTTCAATCTCCGCCCTTTTCACTGCGGTCACTTCCCTGGTTAATTCCTCAATCCCCGCGTTGCCTCCCATCGATATACCTCCTCCTCCTCCTCCCGAGCCTTTGACTCCTCCCTTGTCTCCCGTTAATTTCCTCGAGTCTTCAGATCCAATCTCTGCCCTTGCCCATGTCTTGAATACCCACCTCTCACGGCCAGCCCCGCCGTCCCCCATGGTGGCTCCTTCCACGGCTCTAGTTCCCCGTGCCCCTTCCGCCAGCACCAGCTACCCAATCATGGTGGTTGGGTCCGAGGTGTCTGCGACCTCGGACCAGCCCTATGCGATGGGTGCCTCCCCCCAAGCCTCGGGTTTCCACCCAATTACCTCTCCAATCACCCCCTTCCCAGTTGCCCCCGCTACAGCTACCCCTGAGGCTATTCTTCACCGTGGTTCAATAGTGCCCGAGGAGGTCGTTGTGGTGGACCAGAGCCAACCCCAACTGGGGGGGGGAAGGCTTCCCCAACGGCACTCACTTCCCCAGGGGTATACTCAGATCAACCATGGGGCGGATGGTGCACCACCTATGTACGTTACTTTTAACCCTTCCCAAGCCGCTACCCTTGTAACTTCACTCCCTGATCCTGAGAAGCACCCCATGCCCTTTTTCCGCAGGGTGGCTCAGATCCGTAAGACATATTCCGCTGCATGGCGGGACCTTATTAGTTTATGTGAAATTAAGGCCGGAGATGCATACTGGCCAATCATGGAACGGAGCTTTAGTGATGCTCCACTTACTTCTGATACTGATTTCCGTTCTGGTGAAATTTTCTGTGAACAACTTCGCGCCTGGGCGCAGGATAAACTAGCTGACCAGGCTACTTGCATTAATGACATAATACAGGACAAACTTGAGACCGTTGAAAAGTACCACTCTAGGTTGACTCAGACATTCTCGGACTTAGGGTTCAGCACTTACAACAAGGCACACACCCAGGGCCACCCCACCACTTTCTTAGTTGACACAGGTGCAGCCCGTAGTGTCCTTAGGGAACAAGACCTGCCTGACCCTTCTTTCTTATCTGACACTGATGTTTCCTGTGTTGGGGTGGATGGTACCCCACGCAGCAACCCCCTTACTAAGCTCCTACACGTAGGTTCACACATCCTCTCACGCTTTGTTGTTTCCTCTACCTGCCCCATTAACCTCCTAGGTGCCGATGTTTTCTCTCGGCTCCAGGCCTCCATTACCTTCACTGCAGATGGGCAGATTGAATTGACAGCTCCCTTATCACAAAAGGATACCTCTGTCCTCTGTTCACTCCCTATTTTGTTAAACCTAACTGACAATACAGGGGATGCACGTGTCCCACAAACCCCCAGTGCTCTGGATCGTATCCCTCAAGAACTTTGGTCCACTGGCCCGGATGATATTGGGCGCTTACATGTGCCCCCAGTCTTAGTTCAACTCCTGCCTGGGGCACTGCCTCCTCGCAGGCCACAGTACCCTCTGAAGCCTGCACAAGCTGAAGCCATTACCAGACAAGTTGAAAGTCTCCTTGCCAAAGGTGCCCTCATCAAGTGTTCATCTCCATGTAATACTCCACTTTTTCCTGTTAAAAAGAGAACTGTTAAAGGTCAGCCTGACCAGTACCGCATGGTGCAAGATCTCCGTGCTGTGAATGATGTGACCATCAGAGACACTGCAATTGTTCCTAACCCCCACACCCTCTTATCCCAAGTCCCATCAACTTCAACAATATTCACCGTGGTGGATCTAGCTAATGCCTTCTTCAGTGTCCCCCTTGACCCTTCCTGTCGTTTTCTCTTTGCCTTCACCCATGAAGGACAGCAATACACCTGGACTGTCATGCCTCAGGGGGCTCAGAATTCCCCCACACAGTTTGCCCACGCCATGTCACTGGTGCTGGATCCCTGGCAGAAATCTCATTTGGATGTCGTCCTGCTTCAATATGTTGATGATCTCCTTCTCTGTGCTCCTGATTTGCTCATTGCAGAGCGTGATTCAGAAGATCTCCTATGTTTCCTTGCTGCAGCTGGTTGCAAAGCCTCAAAATCCAAATTACAATGGTGCCGGCCCTCTGTGGTCTTCTTGGGACACTGCCTTTCCCATGGCACCAAACATCTAACCTCCCAACGTGTACAAGCCATTCTGCATCTTCCACTACCTGCTAATCACCAGGCTCTCCATGCTTTTCTGGGTCTTATCACGTACTGCAGGTCCTGGATACCTGAAGCATCAAAACTCATGCAGCCACTCTATGATGCCCTCAGGAGTGAGCCCTTTCACCTCACAGAAGAAACTATTATCTGTTTCCATACTCTGAAAAGGGCTATTGCTTCTGCACCTGCCTTGGGCCTGCCCAACTACCAACTTCCCTTCC